GGGAAGGTACCTGAAAATTCATTTGTGTCACGAATTTGAAGCTGGCCGAAATAAGTGCTAAAAACATCCTACAGTCGGCACACGCGGCTCACTGTCGATGGCGCACTACCTAATAATATGTATTTAACTTGGAAAACTTGACAGTCCAAGACCCCTGCACCGGTCGTTACAGAGGTGCCAAGATTTAAAGTTCATGATTGCTTGCTCAAACATGTTTCCGGCGTCAAAAAGGGCAAAGTCTGGGTCTGCAACAGCACCGGTGCAGACAACCGGATCAATAAAGGTGTTTTTGACACCTTGAACATCCAAAACTATCATTTGCCCATCACTCTGTTCGAGTGTAAAATGACAGAAGGACAGGCAGAGATCCAAGAGGTCCTGCTCTGGAAGTCCTGTCCCGGTTTCTAACATCCCCGTGTTGAGCACAGCCTTCCAGGTCTCTCCTTCAATGAAGGGTTCAACAAAGACTGTCACCCCGCTCTCGAATGTACCGAGATGCACTTTGTTGTACTTGATAAGTTGTTTTCCAACCCTATCATTGTACATCTCGGCATATTCCAGAGCGGTTTCGTTGGTCTGGATAACGATTTTCATTTCCGCCCCGATATCTAGTTGTTCACCATCGAGATTTTGTTGCAGATTCTCGATGCCTGTCTGCGAGAACTCTTTAACCACAACACTCTGAGGCTGCTGGTTCTGCAGGTACAGGACTCCTTTGTAGGCATTCCTGCAGCCTCCAGCACCCAACAGCACCTCTTCTCGCACAATCCTTCCCGTCTGAGGCGGGAAGGACTCCCAGGAACAGTCCACCACAGAGTACTCACTGAGAGTTACCTGCATGGTCGGTAGGGTTCTAGGCACTGGCCTCCTTTTTCCGGACTCTAACAACTGGTTAATCTCTGGCCGCTTTCGCTTCGGCCTCGGCACGAAAACTGTTCGAGTAACACCTGATGATACACCAACTGGTGTCACTTCTGAAGTCGAATGACCGGGATCCCAGGCACCAGAGCCGGATCCTGATGGCTCCTCTGAGTCGATTGTGATTACCACCTGAGGTACAGAGGCGGGGCCTTCTTCGAAATGAACCAAGAGGTTCATCTTCCCCGCCCCTGTTACTGTTGGCAGATGCCGGTAATTTTCGATAATGGGCCCATTAATAGAACGCAGCAGCGTACATTTAAAGTCCGTGTTAGATTTTCCATACACTTTGTAAGCACATTCTCTCAGCCGCTCCACCTCTATTGCGATACTGTCGTACTCAACCTCCTTGATGAGTCCAATCTTCTCATATTTTGCTGCCGTCTTGGGCCTCGCCTGAAGTTTTATTTGTAGTCAACTAGGAGTTATTATGGCCCTTCAGTAACAGTTTTTAATATATATAATATAATTATGAAATACTATTCAACATCATCGGTGATTCCTCTACATTGGATACGGATTACAGACTCGGTTAGAGCGTCAATCTTCTATTACAACTTTGGCCTACTATACAGCCTCAGTCATAATAAAAATTAACAACTTGGCCTTCGGCCTCGGCATTATAAGAATGATAAAATCCTCGTCATTAATTCCTTTATTCATTCATATTATTATATGCCTTAGTAGGGTGTGCTATTAACAGTACCCACTACCCATCTGACTTGTGTCATTCTTTGCAGCACGTCAGAAGCACCTTAAATTATTTTTATTTATGATATAATGTGCTGTATAAAACTTGAATTTTATACATTTATTTACCTCCTGGAAGCTTATCAGTTTCAAGGAAGATTTCTTGGACCGTTTGGAGGAGAACCGTTTCATGTGGTCTGAAAATTTGTTTGACATCTGGAAGGAATATGTATTGTTAAAATAGTGCTCACGGCTAATCTTGGTGGTGGTGGTGGTGGTTGTGGTGGTAAAAGAGCATACAAAGCCCATTTTTAACAACTTGAAGATTCTTGACTCGGTTAGTAAAGCGAAGTTCTAAGTTTAAGAAAAAAACTGTACATTTATATTAATATATTTTCTGGCTCTGCCACATCGTCAAAACTTGATACATCTGATATTGCAATTTCAATTTCAAATGGTTTACAGCTTCACTTATATCATAAATAAATAAATATAAAGTTTACATGAACTTGAAGTGACCTGAAGAGTGAAGGAGCCTCTACAAGATTCATGATCTCTTAACGGGTGCCCTTCATAATATTCAGTACACCTGCCCTGAGCTAGCTTCATACATCATAAACATATATCGAGAACCTGCAAGACTGGTAATAGCAAGGACAGATGAGGAGATCTTAAGTGAAGAGGGTGTTACACAAGGGGACCCTGCAGAGATGTGGGCCTGAGTATATACGATCTGAGCCAGACAGCTGATCTTAAGTATGAATACTCACTCTTTGCCACAGAGAATCTTACTGATGCAATCTTAAATCAAGTATCAGAACATACAGAGAATCATCAGAAGGCTGTTGAAGTAAAAGCTGAAATTTCGAGAAGAAGACAGCAGTTCTACAAGCAGAAACGTGAGGAAGTTCTACCAGAGCTTAACCAGATACAGAAGCTTCAGCTTGATCTTGCAACAGAAAAGGGGGCAAGTTGCTGATTAACATCACTCCCACTGCAGTCTTATGGATACTCATTCAACAAAAAGGAATTTAATGATGCTTTGGCCTAAGATATAATCTAAAAATCAAGGATACTTCAAGAAAGTGTGTCTGTGGAGAAACTAATACTATCAATCATCTCATCTGCTAGTATGCAAGAAAGGTGGTTATGTAAACCTGAGACACAATCCCCTCAGAGATGTCATAGCTGAACTGATGCAGAATGCGGGATGCAGAGATGTATGTGTGGAACCACCGTTGTTGCCAGTCAAGTTACCACCAGGTGCAAACACAGCAGAAGAAGCACGCTTAGATGTTAGTGCTAGAAGTGTTTTGAGCCCGTAAGAGAGCATTTTTTGATATTAGGGTCTTCCATGCCCCTACACCCTCTAATCAAGCTTTGAACACTATAGCCAACATGTACAAGAGCCATGAGAAACGAAAGAAGACTGCGTTTAACGCCCGAGTGTTGGAGATCAAGAGAGGTACGTTTGCACCAGTGGTTTTATCTACAACTGGTGGTATGGGGACGGAAGCCCAAGTTCTTACAAAAAGACTTGCAGAAAAAATGTCTACAAAATCTGGAATGAGATATTCAGATACCATCACTTTCTAAGGAAGAGGATCTGCTTTGATCTCTTATGAACCACAATCATTGCTCTACGTGGACATCATGGAAAACGAAGAAGTGCTCCAGATGAAATAGAAGCACTGGATATCGATTGATTAGTAACTCTTTACCAAAATTATGAGTGAATATTCCCTCAAAAAGGAGCCAATCACTTGAATGGTGTATTCAAATCAAGAGTAAAAAAAGTTATTCTCTCATCCCAGGGTAAAGGTGACAAGAATATCTGGGCCCCTTTGGCAAACTTCCTGAACTCAGGCAGCTTGAACGACTAAATTTGAAAAGCAAAACTTCATGTCTGAATGAATTATTAGAACCATATAAAAGTAAAGTGAAGTAAAGTAAAAATTATGACATAACATCATCACACATGTCTACAAAGTATCAAATCACTATATGGAAAAATATAAATATCTTACCACCAAAATTAATAAATTATTAACTACAACTTTATTAAAAAATTTCAAATAAGTTCAAAAAGGATCCCCAAAAGATAACCCTATTCATACTTCCCAGTGGAATAAAGATTTATAAATCGCTTTTTTGCCACAAAAGGTTGGAAATAAAGATAATCGTTATGCTTCTCTTTATTACTAACATAGCTAGGTCCTTCAATTCTCCCTAATACTTCATTTGAAACATTCCAAAAATGTGAATCATTAGAAATATCCTTAGCAATCATATCTTTTTAAACCCTTCTAATTTAATCTTAAAACTTAAAACAGTCACCGAGTTCTTAACATCTGGAGGAAGTTTGTTCCAGTAAGGAATAACTCGCTCTGGAAGAAATGAACTTTGGAGATTCCTAATCTTTGCCATACTCTTACAACATCTGTTGGATGATACAAGATTAAGACCAGATCTGCTCACTTTGAACAAATCTGAGCCGTACTCGGTTAAACCATTAATAACCTTAAAAGCTTCAATAAGGTCCCCACGTATTCACCGCTCTGCCAGGGTTGTCAAATTGAGAATTTCCAGTATACGGTTGTAAGGAAGAGTACCCACCTCATTAATAAGACGGGTAAACCGCCTCTGGACGCTCTCCAGCTCCAAAACAATCCCCAAACTTCCATGAGCCGCAACTGGATTCCACAATTGGTCACAATACTCTAAATGAGGTCTTATTAAAGCTTTATAGATGGTTATCATAACTCCTTTTTCCCTTATTACTAAATTTCTTATAATCCAACATATCATACGATTTGCTTTAGAAATGCATGCTTTTATCTGCTCATTCCAAAGCAAGGAGTTATGGGTAATAACCCCCAAGGGTTTTACACCCTGGAGCCAAATCCAACGCTAATCACAACACCCCAGCAAAGATGTACAGCAAGCATGAGAGAGAGAAAGAAAGGAAATATTGAGACCGCTGTGTACAGATTGAAAAAGGAACCTGCAATGGCCTTGTATTCTCGACCACCGGAGGTATGGGCCCACAGGCTACCATGTTCCTTAGACGAGTAGCAACACTTCTGGCAGCCAAGACCAGCCAGGACAAAAGCCTCATTATGGCAAATCTCAGACGTCGTTTGCGGTTTGAGCTACTTAAGACAGTATTGATTGCAGTGAGAGGACACAGAGGACGGTATTATGAGAAAGCAATACCTGTTGACGAACTGGACCTAAATCTTGCACACACCACCAACGATGAAGACAGGGGTGATGATGTTGATGATGAAGATGATGAAGTTGATGATGAGGCTGAGAATGTAGAGGAAGAGGTTTCAGAGTGAGCTGAAAAGAAGACAAGTTTCTATTCTAATTTATTGATTATTATATTTATGAAGTGGAGCGAGGATGAGGATGGGATGTGCAAGCTGTGTGGTGACAAGTTGGGAACTGTGCCGCATATTCTGGCTGGTTGTCCTGTATCACTAAGTCAAGGGAGATACCGATGGCGCCACGATAAGGTGCTTAAACAAATAGCAGACCAAGTGAAATTCCATTGTGAGCGGAGAGTCAACAAGAGGAAGAGCTCTTGTGTCACTCGGAAAGCCATTGAGTTTGTTCCAGCAGGAGGGAGGTTTAAGGAGGTGAAGAGGTCGAAAGTCAGTGAGTTTGGGATTCTGAGTGGGGCCACTGATTGGATAGTATTAGCAGACCTGGATAAGCAGCTGAAATTCCCGTCGGATATAGCAACGACCAGATTAAGACCAGATTTGGTTCTTTTCTCGAAAGCTTCCAAGAGAGTAATCTGGTGGGAGCTTACAGTACCGTCGGAAGAGAGAATAGCTGCATCCCATGAGCTGAAGCTTGATCGGTATAACAGTCTACAAGCGGAAATACAAGCTAATGGGTGGTCATGTTTCAGCTTTGCTGTTGAGGTTGGTGCTAGAGGTGTGGTCGCAGCAAGTTTGGAGTGTGCATCAAGGAAGATTGGTCTGACTGGGAGAGCCCTCAAGAAGTTGGTCAGAGATTGTGGGAAGGATGCAGCCCATTGTTCAAGATGGATTTATCTGCTATCTAGGAAAAGAGAGTGGGAGATGAGAGCTGTTTGAGCTTTATGACTTCACCTAACAGCCAGAGGTGCCATAAGCTAACTCGTCGCAAATCGCGAGCTCTAGCAGGTATCCTCGGGTGATTGTCAGATCAGATGGTGGTCCAAGAGAGACTGCTGGGGCACCTGACAGAAAACCGTATCGCAATGAAAGCCCCGAAACGGTGTCAGGTTTGTGACTGAAGATTCTGATCAAGCTCAGGGTTGAGTCTACACAGTGTCGCCACTTGCCGATGCCAGTTGATGCGAGAAGACACTGATGTAAGTGGGAAGTTATGTCTAAGAAACAGCGTGTGGTTCGGGTGCCGGTTGAACGCATGTAAAAGGGAGGGTATATCCGTATTTCGCTGCTAGTGATGCAGTCCTTGGCCCGGTAGCTAAGGCTTCCCCGTTTCTCGCTCATTTGTGCTCCGATGGGCTTGTGACCTCTGCGGGGGTCAAGTGCAGGATGAGGGACATGGCTGACCAGGAGAAGGTTGTTTTTGGGAGATAGAGTAGGGTTGGTTTGGTGTTGTGCCTTCGCAGTTTAACTGTATCTTTACATTGCAATAAACATATAATATTCATTACTCCAGGAGTGATGACAGGATATAGAAAAAAATAACCCCCCAGTCTTTTTCCTGAGCAGATGCTTCAAGTTTTACACCATTAACAAAATTTAATTTAGGATTATTATTAAGACTAACATGAACTACTTTACATTTGGCAGGATTGAACTTTAAAAGCCAAATACTCTCCCAAACTTCCAATTCTGCAATATCATCAGCAACACTTTTATGTTTAGCCGCATTACCAATCAGCTTAAGATCATCAGCAAATAATTTTATTTTATTCTTAACTATATCAGGTAAATCATTTATATACAGCAAAAATAAGAGAGAGCCTAAAACAGAATCCTGAGGGACACCAGATAGCACGTGTTTCACCTCAGACCATTGTTCTTCTACAAAAACTTTCATAGTCCTATCTAATCTATTCTATATAGTAGAAGGCCTTACGGGCATTTTCTGATCTGTACGCTAGGGACCCCAGATACACCTCACTAGACGTATTTTTGACCGTAGAATCGATTAAAAGTTGTTTTGGGATGATTGGACTGAGTTTCCCCGGGTAAAATCGCAAAAAACTGATTTTTGGGCCAAAAAAGGCCAAAAAACCATATTTTTTGAACTTTTGAGCAAGTTAATTTCGTTGAAATATCACCAAAATTTGCATAACGATAGCTCGAACATAACCGCACAAAATGATACTAAAATAAAAGAAATCGTTTCATTTTTCCTTGGGTAAAAATCAAAAAAAGTGGTCAAATTTTAGGCTTTTTGCGCGCATTTTATTTTTCGTACTTAGCTGCTGTATTTTGAAATTTTTAAACCATGTATCTTGTAATTACATTTAGTTTAAATATATTAAATACAATTATGAGCAAAAAATTAATTTTAAGTGGAACCAAAATTTTAGGTGCGCCGCGCAAAGTTTAGAAAATTCACATTGTATTATGAAAATCGAGCGCTTACACAAATACTGTCATATTTTCAAAAGAATACATAATAGTTTTTTGCGTTATTGTTGCATTTCGTAACCCCTTTGCACTCTGTTTGGTTACTTTTCTGACGTTTAATTTTATTACTTGTTGTTTTTATGTATTCTCATTGATGTGGAGTACCCATTCATACTTTTTCACATCGTTTTTATCATATACGTTTTCCTTTAAGGTCTGCTCCTTTTGTGACATTTTATTACAAATAGAGCCGACTTTATGTTATTGTTGCATTTCAAAACTCCTTTTCTCTCTATTTGATTATCCTCTTGATAATCAAATAGAGAGAAAAAACAAATATTCTCTGACCAAAATGACTACATTCAATGACTTATAGACATGTCCAATTGACACAATGGACATGTCCATCTCAGTGGACACAATGGGCACACTCACAAAACATCAAATTGTGGAATATGTTCATTGTTTTGGAATCGTCCATTGTGCACAATAGAAACAATGGACACACTGGACACAATGGACGCCCAATTTAGGTGGCTAAAGTACAGGGACTAGCCAGCTAGATAACATATATAAGAGATCCGCATATTATTACAGAGGCGCGTATTACAGGGGCCTGACTGTATTCCCATTGTGACCAATGGATATCCAATGTCCATTGTGTACATCTAATGTCAATGATGTACATCAATAGAGCCGAGTCAAACATCATCTGAGCACCGCTTTGTCAACTAGGTTGGGTATACTGCAATTGTCTAGCCAAAAGATATTAATCGTTTGTCATATTTTATTGATATTTGCTTTAGATAGCTGTGTAGATGACAAGCTGGCAAGACGACAGTGAGCTTGAACAATGGCTCGAAACGAAAAGGGCTGAAGGTTTTAGTGTCAAGGAGATAAGTGGGTTAATCAGAAAATCATTCCCAGATTACCCTTCTTCGGTAGGGACTGTTAAAAGGTATGTTGGTTATTAAATGTAATAATTTAAACTGTAGAAAATAATAACACATTTTACTCAATACCAATAACGGCTCACCGAAAGATCATGATTTCCACAGACGCAATCAAACTCTCCAATCAAGAAAACTGGTTAAGGTTCCCTTGAAAGATTAAATGATCAGGCTAGTCCTTGCGGGCCGCCCCATTCAGAATCATCTCAGTGAATTGTATCAGCGCTAGCAACGTTAATCAGGCTGTAACTCAAGAAAAATGAACGAACGGAATGATGACTTATCTTATTGCTTTATGATTATTTTTAGATGAAGGTGACACTATCGGGCCTATAGATCTAGTGTCACTGTTTTCCATTGGCACTAATGAAACAACAATTAATGAAACAACAATTAAATCTTTATAGCAGCAATCATACATATTTTTATTGAATTATTGAAAACATAAAATACTTCAAACTTATCGTTTAGTATTGCTTAAATACAGGATATAATTTAGTATTCTTAGGATAAAATTTGATAAATGATGATTATATCATAGTATAGATTACCCATAGGCAATTAGTAAATTAGAGATTAAATAAAGTACCTAAGGCTACATGAATATAATATTTATATTAAATCATCACTTGACCCTCAATAAATGTAATTTAGTACCTAGCAATTTATTAGATAGTTTTTAAATTGTTTACAGCTTCACTTATTATATTGAACAAAAGCTTTTCATTTTTGTGAAGCAAGAGCTTTTAACTTTTTTCCCAAAGTGCCAGTGCTAAGCAACCCCATGAAATGTTTCAGGATGCTGTCGAAATTTGAGATAAGACTTACAGAAGAAGTGCCCAGACAGGAGCTTTACAACGCAGTGCAGGAGATTGCTGCGAGTTCGGGTGGAGCATGGGGCTATCGTCATGTCACACATGAGCTGAGGTATAATACAGTGAATAAAGGAATTTATCTATTTTATATACTCTCTACTAAAACGGGAAGCTAAGGGTCGAAGCCCACAAATAAGGGAGTCCAATACCCTACGCAAGCACGCGGTTACCGATTACAAGGTTTACGAGGTTTACAAGGTTTCCAAATATAAGATCATTACTACAATGACATAGTGTTAGATTGTACCTAATCAAAATCTTATTGTAAGGTAAATCAAACGGAACATAACAAAAACCAACAAAATGAAAAAATAAAGCATAACGCTATCAGCTGCACGGAAAGACACCTAGACCTAGAAGTGTCATGGAACAGTCCAATTATAATTGGACTACTCTGTGACACTTATTACAAATGACAAAAACAAATATTCTCTGACCAAAATGACTACATTCAATGACTTATGGACATGTCCAATTGACACAATGGACGTCCATTGTGTCCATCTCAGTGGACACAATGGGCACACTCACAAAACATCAAATTGTGGAATATGTCCATTGTTTTGGAATCGTCCATTGTGCACAATAGAAACAATGGACACACTGGACACAATGGACGCCCAATTTAGGTGGCTAAAGTACAGGGACTAGCCAGCTAGATAACATATATAAGAGATCCGCATATTATTACAGAGGCGCGTATTACAGGGGCCTGACTGTATTCCCATTGTGACCAATGGATATCCAATGTCCATTGTGTACATCTAATGTCAATGATGTACATCCAATGTGCATTGAATTGTGTTCAATGTGCCCATTGGACGTCCATTGTGTCCACTGTGTACACTGTGTCCATTGTGCGTTCAGTGTCCATGGTGTCTACTATTGGATATCCAATGTCCATTGTACACAATGGACAGTGGACACAATGGACACAATTGTGTCCATTGTGTCCATTGTGTCCACTGTGCCCATTGGACGTCAATTGTGTCTATTGTGTCCATTGTGCACAATATACGATTCCCCAACAATGGACATATATTCCACAACTTGATGTCTTGTGAGTGTGTCCATTGTGTCCACTGAGATGGATACAATGGATCCACATGTCCATTGCATTATACATATCCAATGGACATATTGTGTCCATTGGATACAATTCACAAACCTACATGTACTTTAACACATGGATTCAACATATTTCAAAAATTAAAATTAAAACTTGTCCATATAATAAGTTATAAATCAGAGGCAACAAAGGGATCCTCGCTACACGAGATCGGGTCATGGAGACGCTACGAGAAGTAGATCCTGCTGGTGCCCAAGAAAGAACACCAGCGTTCAAAGAAAAGCGCCAGAAGAGACCATTCGTGTCTAATGGGCCAAACTATTTGGTCTCAATGGATGGGCATGATAAGCTGGCAGGCTACCAGTGCTCAACGTACGACCTCCATATATATGGGTGAGTAACAAAACTGAAAATTTCAGTTTGTAACATTGATTTTGCACAAATGTATGTAGTGGCACAATCAGGTTGCTTGAAATTTTTGCAATTTGTTTGCAAAAACATATTATCGTGTATTGAGTAATGCGACTAAATACTGAAATGACGATTTGGATTTGAACAAGCTTAGTACTTAGTAGTCAGTAAATATTTACTATTTAGTGCCCCTTTAGGTATTTAATAGCATCCGTCTATAGTTTATACTGTATTCTTGTATTGTATTCATATTATGATAATATTTAACTCAGGGCCCTTGACACGTTTAGCCGGAAAGTGCTCTTTATGTGGATCGGACAAACCAATAAAGACCCCAAAGTTATTGGGAAAGTGTACTTGGACTATTTGGATGGAAGCAGAATGCTGCCTCGCCGCATAAGACTTGATAAAGGCACAGAGACTGGATACTTAGCTGCTATTCATGTGAGATTAAATATATATCATAAATAGATCAAATCTGAAACCGAAATTTGCACGCATTTAATAAATTAAAAAAAAGAAAATAAAAAAGAAAGGTTTATTGATAAAACAAAATATGGAGCACTCTGTGCTTCCAATAGCCTTTCAGACTCGCGCTAAGTTTGTTAGGGACTGATTTAGGATATCGTAGATATTGCTATGCCATGCCATTAGTTTGGATATGCAGTGTTGTGATTGTTAAAATCAATTACGGTTTGTGCTGATAGGAAAGTAGTGATAGTGGGGAATGTGGCAGTGTAAATATGGACCTGGAATTTAGGATGTGTGGCTTATCCATTAATATTAGTTGCCGCTAGTCTGTGCTCAGTTTGTTCTGGTTTTTTTTTGTGTGCAAATTTATATATCATGTATATATCATAGTTTATTTTTGTAATATCATTTAATATATAATAGTACTTAGTAATAACCATATGACTAATAACTGATTTACTAATAAACTAATTAACTAATTCACTAAACTAATATGACCGTTGTGTCCAGTAACTTTCAGACACGTTGTGACCTTCTTAGACCTGGAATATTATGTAATAAGAAACTGGGCCACGTGTCATCGTCATTTTAACTCTGCAGGTTCAAGAGCATGCGTTTTGTAGCCGCTTTAAAAAGGTTAATGGAAAAAAGTGTGGGTAGGGTGCTTACATTTGCATTTACAGCATAAATTGAGAGTAGAGGTCCTTTGAAGAACATCGCAGATCTGAAATGTGTGGTGTTGTACTCGGCTAACCAGGAAGCTGCAGTCACGTGATCTGAGTGCATTTTCTGGGATAGTCATACAGATTTGTTGAGGGACTGAGCTACGGAAATGTTTGATTCGGTGCATGAGAATTAGTGTGTTTTTTACAATAACACTGTGCACCGTGAGTATACCATTGTTATTGAAAAATTGTTTTGTGTGTTCTGGCAGTCGACCGTCTTTGTAAAAGTAATTAATGTGACCTGGCATTACTGCCCTGATACCCTGTTTTTGTCGTGAGAAGAGTGATTCAATGTGATTTTTTGCTGCAAACCCCCATACAATTGAACAGAAGTTTAAATGCAATTGAACAAAACTTTGATATATCTGTAGCCTTATTTGAATCGATAGGTGACGTTTTATTTTATACATAATTCCTACATACCGCATCATTTTTTATCTAACAGCTGCTATATGCTTAGACCATGTTAGTTTATCATTCATTATAACGCCAAGGAACCGTGCTTCCCTTTTACGTTCTAATTGTGTGTCTGCAATATGAATATTTGGAGTATTATCAGTATTTCTAACACCGAAAAGCATATAGCAGGTCTTTTTTAGATTAAGTGCAAGTCCATTACAGTCAACCCAGCGTACAAACTCGTGGGAGAATTGGTTGCATTTTTGTATAACATCGTGTGCATTTTTGCCTTTTATTATGATATTCGCATCATCAGCGTAGAGTATAAACTTTATCATACTGTTGATATTTGGCATATATATATTATATAATAAATATTTCTTTATTGGTAGGTATTGGTCACACTCACAATTTTCTTAAACGAAAGAAAAGTCAAATATAAAACCAGTAAATATGTTTACGGTAAATAAAAATATTATAGAGCTTTTATCGGTAGAACAAACGTGTATTTTAATTATGTTCATTGGTAGAAGTTCCGAGTTTTTAAAATGTGTTTAGACCATGTAAAACTCCAATTAATAAGATAACTGTCAGATATATAGATATACGTGTAATTTGGCAGTTCAATAATACAATAAATTCAATAATAGTTAAAACTGAAGTTCCATTAACGAGTTTTGTGGTACCTATATCATTTATCGCAGCACGGCTGAAACCATACTGACTTTCGAAAAGTGAACAATTTGAGTCTACAAATTCTAGAACTCTAATATGCTAGATTTATACTGTATGAGATTCGCCCAATAAGAGCTTTCAATAGTATGCTGATTTTTTCATCATGTGATCTACAATTCAAAATTGTAACGCCCACGTTTCTCTGTAATTGTGCAGAGAAATTTATTGTAAATTTTTGAACCGCACTGAAACCTAATTGACGATTTTTTCAAATAGCTTATTTTATGTATTATTGCGTGCTATTGATCGTGTTGCTGTAAAGTCTAGATGGAGGTGATGTCAAAGTTGCTTGGAGTGTGGCCACTCCCTGGATTGTGCCTTATTCTAAGATAATGTTTTCACTCTGCCTTTACATCGATTTCTCAAGAATACATAGTATGTATTACATACTTCCGAGATAGTTATTCTCGATCTCTTCCCTAGCTCAAATGTCCTCGTATTTAGTTACATAAATACTAATATTATAACCAACTCAGTAATGATCTACTAACTTATAGAATATACTTGAATAAGAAATATAATATGTATCACATAGAAACCTTCTTAAAATATGATGATATATAGTATGGCCCGATTGTGTATTCTGTGTAGATTGATTTGTAAAACGTTTTAAATTTTAAAAAGTAACAAGAATGTGTGCGGTTTGTCACCTGAACCTTTCCCGACGGTGCACTTTAGGGCAGTGCAATTTTGGCCTGATACAGTAGATATGAGACAGGAATGGTACAATATTTTTTCAGATGTTTCTCATGGAGCGACATGGCATTTCCCAAGAAGACGTAGAAAGTGTCCTTCTTGGTCCTTCTACTGACAACAAAATAGAGAGGTTGTGGAGAGACGTGCGTGAGAAAGTGGGCGACCCCTACAAATTGATTCTAAATCGACTATCAGACGATGGGCTGTACGATCCAACGTGTCAAGACGATAGGGAAATTCTGGCTGGTGTGTTTGTTCCTGTTATCGAGAAAGACTTGAACAAATTCGTACGTTATCACAACACAAGCAGGTAGGCACATGTATAATGTATATTATTGTATATTTATACAATATAATACATAAACATTTTCTTGAATTAATTCCGAACTTATTTGCCATATGGACCCTGGCAGTTAGTTGGCTAGTTGGAAAAAAATCGGCCCTCCGAGAGGGTGGACCTGGGTTAAAGATACTGTTAAGGGGACAGGGGGGGGGTCTTCGTGAAATTCTTCTCAAATTCGACTTTTTAGTTGTTTCTGATAGATGGGAGTGATATCTATCGAAGCTTTTGTTCCTGTGGAAAAATATCGTTCCTAGCCGAAATTATTGCCGGTCAAAGGTCAGCTCGTGTGTGTAATTGTATTGCGCGAGCGATTTTTGATTGCGTGCCCTGAAAATCGAGTCTAAAAATCTATCTCCTCTGACATTTTTTGAGCACTCAGCCTGAAACTTTCAGGATATGTTCAAGGGATCATTTAGGAAATTCTGGTCGATCAGAATTTTAAGATAGGCCTCAGAAAAGTTTTTATTCGATTTTGAAAATTTTGGACCTGGAAAAATAGTCAGAAAACGAGTGTTCAAGTAAAAATGTGGGCGCAGCGCTCCCGCTGGGGACTTATCCCAGTGTTTTCTACAGTATGTGTGTATAATATACATGTATTGTGTATAGCAGTATAAGTGTATGCTCTTGTCCCGAGTATATTAGCCTTGATCCCGCATATTTGGGGCTGGTAGAGGGAGCTACTACTGAGGTGGAGTGTCCCGCACTCCATGAACCATCAGCACAGGCTCGCGTCGATGGGACCCCGAAGGAATCAGAGGGATTCCCTCTGGGCTTGCACGGAGAGGAGGAAAAGGGCCTGCTCTTTGCTCTTTGCTCATGAGACCCACCCAACTAGGTACATGCGTATATATTTGCTAACATTAATTTTCTCTGTCTCTGTCTCTGTCTCTGTCTCTGTCTCTGTCTCTGTCTCTGTCTCTGTCTCTGTCTCTGTCTCTGTCTCTGTCTCTGTCTCTGTCTCTGTCTCTGTCTCTGTCTCTGTCTCTGTCTCTGTCTCTGTCTCTGTCTCTGTCTCTGTCTCTGTCTCTGGCTCTCTGTCTCTCTCTCTCTCTGGCTCTCTCTCTCTCTCTCTCTCTCTCTCTCTCTCTCTCTCTCTCTCTCTCTCTCTCTCTCTCTCTCTCTCTCTCTCTCTCTCTCTCTCTCTCTCTCTCTCTCTCTCTCTCTCTCTCTCTCTCTCTCTCTCTCTCTCTCTCTCTCTCTCTCTCTCTCTCTCTCTCTCTCTCTCTCTCTCTCTCTCTCTCTCTCTCTCTCTCCTCTCTCTCTCTCTCTCTCTCTCTCTCTCTCTCTCTCTCTCTCTCTCTCTCTCTCTGTCTCTCTGTCTCTCTCTCTGTCTCTCTCTCTCTCTCTCTCTCTCTCTCTCTCTCTCTCTCTCTCTCTCTCTCTCTCTCTCTCTCTCTCTCTCTCTCTCTCTCTCTCTCTCTCTCTCTATCTCTTTCTCTCTCTCTCTCTCTCTCTCTCTCTCTCTCTCTCTCTCTCTCTCTCTCTCTCTCTCACTCACTCTCTCTCTATATATATATATAATATATATAATACATATTTGGAGGAATGAATGTGAGGGAAGAGAGATCTTAACTCAAACCCTTTGGACTAGTTTCGGTCATAGATCATAATCCCGACGGCATAACCATGTCACAACCATGTCATAACCATGTCATAAACATGTCACAACCATGTCACAACCATGTCATAACCATGTCATAACCATGTCATGACCATGTCATAACCATGTCATGACCATGTCATAACCATGTCAGTCAGACAATTCTCTATTTGTTTTTGATACTTACATCTGTTGATACTTACATCTGTGTCTCGGGCTCTGCCCTCGACTATAATAATCCCGTAAACATCACTTGCTCGACTTTAAAGTCGTTATACACATTACACAGATGCTTGTTTGCGCCCAAAAGGAGCAGATTTACAACCCTTGCGATTTTGTGACTATGTAATAGTTATACTAGCATTACAACGTCAACAATCTCATTTATGGTAGATATCCAATACTGCCAGATCCAGCCCCATGTAGAGTAAACCAAACCGAAAGATCATAATTGCCGCAAACGTAGTCAAACTCTCACCTTAAAGAAACTGGTTAAAGTTTCCTTGTTTCCTCCATAATAGTTTACAATGTACTGTATATTGAATGTTGGTTGTTGAATGTTGATACACATTCCGTTTCAGGATTAAGTCTCAATCTAACGTACTGCTACCGACCGGAGCAATACCTGAACATATGTATGAGTGCCCTGAAGATTACGCTCCTGGGATAGAAGCAGAGGTGGGTTCCTGGTTTGAGATTCAGCTTAGTTTGAGAAGTAACATTACAGTTATAGTGCACATAATATATATATCATAGAGGGGACTTTAACGGAAATATGGTTTTAATATTATCTTTTTTCGCAGGAGTGTGGCATCCATTTAAGCCAGGAGGATATTGACTTGGCGACCGCACATTCGGAACTTGAAGACGCCAGCTCGTATCTTACGTTTCAATCCGAGGTTGTTGAGGCATCATTGATTCAGCATTACAAAGAGGTAACCATGCGATAATCGTTTAATCCACATTTAGCCGATTTCTATTAATAACTTGACATATATTTTCGAGTTAATAATTGCTGATTGTTGCGTCTGTGGGCCAGGTCAATTATAAAAAATATAGTTTCAATATAATTACGTATGGTTAATATTTTCAGGATCTTAAGATAGCAGATTTAAGACGCCATTATACCCTGGTGCGAAGCGACGTCAGAAGTCGAAGACAGTAGTAGCACTTCGCAGACAGTGTTTTTAAAAAACATTTTGAGAAGCCAGTTTTGTAATGATTTTTACTCAATTTTGACACCGAGCTACTCAAATGTAGCACCACAATAAAGAGCAAGCGGCTGTGTAACTATTTAACTATTTTAATTATTCGTTTTAATTTAAGTCATTATGGTACTCTCCGTTCAAATCACCGATCAAAATTGTGGTTTGTTTATCTTGACCAAAACTCATTTAAATCTGCTATTAATTAATTTAAAATTGATACTCCTAAAAAATCAATCCACTGTTAATGCAAACTAAATTCCTTTGGCAGGGTTTGATTTTGAAATATATGTGTAATGTTTAATTGTTGTGCTTTTTGACAGATGGCATGGAGGGCCGAGATTCATAATTGGTACAATTTGGGAGCATCGCGGCTCTAGGCAGCTCTGTTGAAAGGATAAGTGAAACGATACAAATTTGGATTAAAACTAGATCAAAACCGACATTTCGGCAGGTATTGGCCTTTAACAGAGATATAATGAGACCTGAAGTGAGGTCCCAGTGTCCCAGCCTCATGACCTGCTGCCAATCTGGCCCTGTCAAGCCTAACCGTTTAGCTCTGCACGTTTTAGCAGATATGTTTGTGTTGTATCTAATTACCCTATTTTATTTAACACTGGGACCTCACTTCAGGTCTCATTATACCTCTGTTAAAGGCCAATGCCTGCCGAAACGTCGGTTTTGATCTAGTTTTAATCCAAATTTGTATCGTTTCACTTATCCTTTCAACAGAGTTGCCTAGAGCCGCGATTGTACCAATTATGTACTTTTTGACAAAACCCTTGAAGATGGGTCATCATAGTCTGCAGCGCACCCAAAATGCACGGAGAAGTGTGTATGTTTTGATATTATTTTAAATACTATTTATGATTTATTTTAACCTAATAATGAAGGTGTTGTTAATTTTAATCTAAGTTTAAAGGTGCTGCTATATTAATAAGTCAAATTGGTCAAATTAAATAAAATTTAGGCTCTAAAACAGTTACCAATTACAATCCGTATAAATAGCGTTGCGCCGATGTACTCGGGTAGTGAATGAACGATAACGCTCATGAAATCTACTGGGATCATACTATAGAGTATGGCTGGTGGTAACTAGTGTTATAGTTATCTCCCGATTTACCGTGCTTGTCGGGGAAAGGGAGATGCATGCATGGTCTAATGTGAGTTTTAAAGTGTATTTAACAAAAAAAGTAAAACGTGGCATGCGGTGAAAGAACACTGCGTATGATAAATCGGGAGGCACGGTAAATTAAGAGCGGAGATGACTCGTGACTGCAACATATAAGGAATTTGACATTTATAAATGTAATTTGCACTATAGGTTGGACTGCACGGGACCCCTCAGTTTCAATTCCTTGTTTAACAGACCGTTCAGCAAGGACATTCACTGAGTTTATCGGGTTAATAAGCACTTTCCAAAATCTATAGTGCAAAATCTATTTATAGCCATATTCCCTCGTGTTATTTGGCAATTTCTGATGCAGAATATGTAAAAGCGGTCAATATGGAACGCGCATACGTTTTAAAATCAATAACGTGGCGCAGCACGTACGTACATATAGGTGAGCCATCTCGGCCACGCGCAAAACAAAATCATTTTCATTTTCAAATTTGAAAATGGTTTTTTTTTGCGCGTGGCCGAGATGGCTCACCTATATAAACGTACGTGCAAATCGTTTTCAAAATCAAAACCGTTTTCAAAATCAAAAACGTTTTCAAAATCAAAATAGATACCGTTTTCAAAATCAAAATCAATATCGTTTTCAAAATCAAAATCAATATTGTTTTTAAAATCAAAACCAATATCGTTTTTAAAATCAAAATCGATATCGTTTTCAAAGTCAAAATCAATATCGTTTTCAAAATGAAAATCAAAATTGAAATCAAAATCAAAATCAAAATCGAAATCAAAACCGTTTTCAAAATGAGAATTGTTTTTAATTTCAATATGAAAATCGTTTTTTATTTAAATTTTAAAATAATTTTAGAAATCAAATTCAAAATCGTTTTTATTTTGTGATTAATTGTATAATTAATTTTTAAATTAAAAATTTTCAGTGAAAATTTAGGTGAGCCATCTCGGCCGCCATAGATTTCGTAATCTCTTGAAGAGGATCAGCAAGCTTTGGAATGTTACACTGCTGGAGTTATGAGCTGATTTAATTAAACTACTAAACATATTCCGGTATATTTTTTAATACTTTCAACACAACTATATAACAAATGATTTGAAAGTTTATTGATAGAAAGTATTGTGAGCAAATACAAAATACGAAGACTGGGACGCCGAGAAATTTTGACATATTTTCCAAAAAAGAAAGTGCTTGGAAGTAAAGATTTAATTTTGTATCCATGAACTTTTGAAACTGAGAAATTTCAAAATTTCTCCTTGACCCCTTCAGTGCAGTTGTCAGTTGTGGAATTAAGTAGAAGCTGCTCAACGTGTAGGTACATGAGTCCCATTCAGTTGAAGCAGCTCAACGTGTAGGTACAGTCCCATTCAGTTGTTTATGCTGAAGCGAACTTAGGAAGAACTAAAATATCGTAGCGTAGATCGTAGGAACCAAGCTCAATGGAATATTGTTTAAATTTGTTTGAAAATTATGAAATACAGGGTGCCCTCGCGTATCTGACAGTACCAGACAATACTAAGCGTGGAGAGATTTACTTTAGACATCTGCAGGGAAGTTAATCTACTCGGTGAAATTTTCCAAGGAAGTGGATCAGCTAAAAAAGTTGGTAGGCTCTAAAGGATGACATTGCACAACTTTGTGGTGATACCAGAGTCACCTTCGCCTTGAGGAAGCATCCAGCAACACTGTCATCAGGAACCGTGACCTTAGTGAAAGCTCTTCAATTCATCAAGAGAGGACTCGTTAGGACCAAAAACGCATAGATGTGAGGCCAAAGGGTGTTTGACATGTCCTTTGTTATTTGATCCTACAGATGTTATCATTGTTAATGGGCAGATAGTTAATTTTGATTTTTGGCTTAATTGTAATTAATATAGGGGTATTTTTATTTAGCTCAATGTCAGGTTTGTGTAGCGGGGAACAGTATTCTGAAAGAGGACTCATACTTTGGCCAGACAATAATTACACCCATGCACATACGGATGAATGGCCATAGGGATAAATTGATTATTGATGAGAGGCTTAAAATTGAGCAGTCGGCTCTTTCTATGCGCTGTTTATAAAAAAATAAGAATGACTTTAACATAAGGATTTTTAAATTAGAGATTGTGAGGAAAGTGGCCCCCTAAGATTTAAATAGAGAGGAGGAAAATTGAGTTTTTAATTTTTAACCAAAGTTTTAGGGTTAAATAGAATTGTTGTAACTAGATAATTATTTGTTCCTAGACCCGGGTAGTTCTAGAAACTGCGTCCAGCTCTTTCATTGCCCCTTTTTAATGACATCCACCTTTGATTTTATTTCGGTGGTATTTCGGTAAGTTACCACAAGTAGTGTCCACATTTCTATACCAACCTTCGGCCGGTTTGGATGGGTGCCAGCAATTGGGACCCGCTGCTTTAGCTTATAGCTTTATAAGTCATCATATCAAAGTCATTATTGTAACGTTATATTAGAACCAGACAGAAACAAAGTGTGAAGAGCCTGATGAACGGAACCCTTATAATATAACGTTCATAAACCATTTAGCAATACAATTACACAGCTCAAGCTCACGTATTGCTGCCTTTATATTTGTTACGTCTTATCGCTGCCTTCTTTGTCCGCAATATTTTCGTGAGCTCAAGAGCAGTGCATTGCAAAACCAAATAAATAAGTCCGGAAAAGCGCTGATAATTGCTTATTTTTTATATCAAACTCCCCAGTCCCTGGTAACAAAAAAGGCAACAAAACATAATCTTGAGCAATGTATTGCGAAATGATTATGAAATTTAGAAAAGCACGTATAATGGCGTCCCAAATCCTGGTACTGGATAGTGCCAGGATCCAATCGTTACCAGACTATACTTTTAATCGATTCTACAGTCAAAAATATGCTAAGAGAAGTATATTTAAAGTATCTAGCGTAATTTAACAGCCCTCTATTATCATTATCAGAGATCTCAATTCCACTCATTTTAAAGTTCAAATGTATTTTAAGCAGTCTAATATTACGTATCTTACACAGTGTGTGGCACACACAGTGAAGGAGTGAAGGTCTGGCCGAATGCGAACTTTAAAGAAAAGTAAGTTATCAAATTATAATTAACAATAATTTAATAATTAAGACATTCACTATAAACATAATATATGTCAGAACACAAATAATATTAATAAGCAAGGTATAATATACCGTATATTGTAGTCCTAGTTTCATCTAGGAGTGTTCATACCGACGCGATAAGTTGTTGCACATTAGCACGTGCACATTAGCACGTGCACATTAGCACGTGCACATAAGCACGTGTCCTAGTAAGTGAATTATCATCTTGCACGTCAGTTGTTGTAA